GTCCAGTTGAAAATTCTTGGATTAACCCCAGAAGCTAAATGCATGCCGTTAGGCAGGTCGCATGACATGTTTATTGTAAACAATAAACCAGGATTTGGGTATGACTCGAAAATGCAGCTGCGGGTAGTGACACCGATGATGGAATTTTTTTTTTAAAAGAGATTTCCGCTGACAGCCACCCGAACTGCTGGTGTCGATGAGTTCCACAGCTTCGGTAGGGAATTTTCTCTGACGCAAATCCTTGAGTTTTGATATCGTGTGCCAGTGACATGAAAAGATGCAGGGAGCCTTTAAAATCTTGGCATCGACCTGACTTGGCAGGGGCTGGTGTTTCTAATCCCATCGTCCATGCTGTGTTTGCAATTAGAGGGTTGGGCAGGACTCCCCAAAGTGTTTTGATTCAGTGGCTAATCCCTATTCAGTTGTTTCAACAGTAATCAACTGGAAGGGGCTCTCCAGGGCAGCTAGTTCTCACTGACTTTTGCAACTGAGTCTGAATTGCAGGTAAGTGTGAATAGAAGGGACTGTCCTTTTCTATTTGAAAAAAAAATGCTTGAGAGCTTTCCTTGAGAAGTTGTGGGTGCTTTATCACTGGAGGGTTTTAAAAAGAGACTGGACAGCCACCTGTCTGAAATGGTGTAGAGTCTTCTGTCTGAGCAGTGGGCTGGACTAGAAGACCTCCAAGGTCCCTTCCAACTTCTATTCTATTCTATTCTATTCTATTCTATTCTACTCTACTCTACTCTACTCTACTCTATTGTACATTCTATTCTATTCTATTTCTGTTATTCTATTCTATTCTACATTCTATTCTATTCTATTCTATTCTACTCTATTCTACATTCTATTCTATTCTATTTTTCTTATTTTATTCTATTCTACATTCTATTCTATTCTACTCTATTCTACATTCTATTCTATTCTATTCTATTCTATTCTATTCATCCCATCCTATATTCTATTCTATTCTATTCTATTCTATTCTATTCTATTCTATTCTATTCTATTCTACTCTACTCTACTCTACTCTACTCTACTCTACATTCTATTCTACTCTACTCTGTTCTATATTCTATTCTATTCTATTTCTCTTATTTTATTCTATTCTACATTCTATTCTATTCTACTCTATTCTACATTCTATTCTATTCTATTTCTGTTATTCTATTCTATTTCTATTCTACATTCTAGTCTAGTCTAGTCTAGTCTACTGTATTCTACATTCTATTCTATTCTATTTCTGTTATTCTATTCTATTCTACTCTACTCTACTCTACTCTGTTCTATTCTATTCTATTTTATTCTATTCCTACACTGTTCAGGTTGAAACCGAACCTTTCTTTAAGTCTTGGGGATAACCCCAACCATCCATTTCCAGCCAAGGTTGATTCTGTCCCAGCCCCTCTGGAAGAAAGTCGCTTAAGAGGCTTGGCCAAGACAAAAGAGAAGGTCCCATTTTGAGAGACACTAGCCTTGACGGATGCTTGCAAATGCATCTATCTTGAATCTAACCCTTGTTTTAAAAAGCACTTGGAGCTCTCCAATTCCCTGGAATGTCTGCCTGCTCACAGATGGGGGAGTCAGCTTGCTTGGAAACCGTCAGAGTCCTTTCCAAGTCGGTATATTGACTCTTCATGCCAAGAGTATGGGTCTGGGGAGGGGGGGGAGAATGGGGAAGGAAGGGTGAAGTGCAAAGCTCTTCCCCCCCCTCAAAAGTTGCTTCATCTCTGGCCCAGTTGCTTGGAGACTGTATAGCCCATTCCCTTTTTCCTTCCACAGTTAAGAGAAAGCCACCACCTAGGTTAGAAAGTGGACCTGCCTTGATCTCAGGAGTCTTTTAATCTGTTGTTATTATTATTATTATTTCCCCTTGGACAAGGAGGACAAGAAATCCCTTGCACCCAAGCTTTGGGTTTCAACCGGAGCTGCGACTTTTGTGCCCCGCCTGGGGAGCCTCCCGCTGGCAAGGCGGCTGACAAACTCTGTCCAAGGCACCCAGTTCTGCTCCGGAGCATGCAGCCCAACCCTTGCAGCATAACCCTTCGAGTATAACGGAGCCATCCAGCCTCCTCCATCCCACCCTCCCTTTGGGATGGCGCCCGACCGGAGGCGCTTCTTCTTGCCTTCGCCCGCCCCGTCGGTCCCTTGGCGCCCCGGCTGCTCGGAATGGGGCTCCGCAGTCCGGCCAACTCACACGTCTTTGGCGGGCAGGTCCCGTCCCTCCACCACGCGGAAGTGCAGCGCAGTGCTCCTGGCCATGCCGCGGCAGGCGATGGGGAGGCGACCGGTTGCTTCTCCCGCGGACGTCCCGGAGACCCGACCCAGCAGGGCTGGGGGAAGAAAGGCAGGAGGGGGAGAGCACCTTCCCGGCCACCTCGAAGCCCTGCAAGCCGGAACGTCCCCGAGGCTGCTCGAAGGCAGGCAGGCAAGCAGAGGAACCGGTCCAGCCAGCTGGCGAGCTCCGCTGGGTTCAGCGCCTACCTGCCAGCTGGCGCTGGCTGTGCCTGCTTCGCACCGGGCGGCCCCGACGCTTCTGCGAGGCTACAGGTTGCCCAGGCGAGGCAGAGAGGGCCGGTCGCCTCCTTGTGGCAAGGACCGGGGGAGCCACTGGATTCGCTTGCCAGTCTGAGTGGCTTGGAAGAGTGGGAAGAAGAGGAGAGCCGGCCAGCTCAGCGGCCAGAGCCCGCCCAGCCTCCTCCTCCTCCTCCTCCTCCTCCCGCCAGCGGGGGTGCAACGGGGTGTGTGTGCGTGTGTGTGCTTCCGAACACGAGCTGGAGGAGCGCACGATTCGAATCCGTGAGAGCGCTAGAATGAGAGTTACCAAGAGCTGTGGACGAGGCGACCTCTAGGTGGCGGCAGAGGTATGAAAGGCGCTTTGCTGCCCTCTAGTGGTGACTCCGCGTTTTGCAGACCCAGGGAGGAGGAGGAGGAGGAGGAGGAGGAGGAGGAGGAGGAGGAGGAGGAGAAGAAGAAGAAGAAGAAGAAGAAGAAGAAGAAGAAGAAGAAGAAGAAGAAGAAGAAGAAGAAGAAGAAGAAGAAGAAGAGAAGGAGGAGGAGGAGGAAGAAGAAGAAGAAGAAGAAGAAGAAGAAGAAGAAGAAGAAGAAGAAGAAGAAGAAGAAGAAGAAGAAGAAGAAGAAGAAGAAGAAGAAGAAGAAGAAGAAGAAGAAGAAGAAGAAGAAGAAGAAGAAGAAGAAGAAGAAGAAGAAGAAGAAGAAGAAGAAGAAGCTGGGATCTCAACAGAAGGCTGAGGATGCAACCCTTGGACTGATACCTAGTCTGATCTTGGCGGGACTCCTTGGGCACATAAAAGCCATGTCCTAAAGCTCTGAGCTGCGCTTGATCTGAGCAGTGATTTCCTGCTAATCCCAACACCTTCCTGAATCCTTGAGTAGTTTGCAGTAACCTTTTGCCAGCTTCAGCTCAACAATCTGGCTGCAGTTATCCATGCCTCAGTAAACACCCAGGACATGCGAAAGCACCCTGGGGCAGGTGTTCCCTAGCAACTGGAATTTAGAGTTAGCCTGCCTCTTGTTCTATGCAGATAAACCCCGGGTGACTGTGGGCTTCACCTTTCTTCGGCTTTGTGGCTTTGCGGTAGTGAATTATGGAGAGTTACTACATGCTAAGTCAGCATGCGGTGCAAACGTGTGGCCCAGGATGCCACCGGGATCCGAGGACACCCTCCCCAGCGTGCCTGTGGCCAAAACATCAGCTCTTTTATTTATTTATCTATTTTTCTCCTCCTCCTTTCAGAGAGTTTAAGGAGTTTAAAGGGCAAAAGCTATTGCAGCATTTTTTTAAAAAAAAATCCTCTAAAAAAATTAATATACCCTGCCTTTTGGAATGCAACCTTTTGACAGGGCAGGGAATGTCCTTAGGACAGCAGAAATTCATTTCTGTGTGAGAAGGTGCTTTTTTTTTGTCCAGGTCAAGCGAGAAAAACAAGCCAACAGGATGGCTAAGGACACAGACTGAATTTGTCGTAAAACAGACCATTGGCTGAGGGAGACTTCAGCCACCCCCTCCTTTTTATTCTAAATTAAATGCTGCAGTCTGATTGGCTCATGGACTCAGAAGTTAGGCAGAGTTTCTGCTGGACACCTGGCTTTGCAATAATGTGTGTGTGGGAGAGAGAGAGAGACAGAACGAAAGAGAGAAAAAAACAGACAGACAGAGACAGAGATACAGAGTCAGAGAAATAAAGATATAGACAGACAGAGACAGAAACAGAACGAAAGAGACAGAGAGACAGAGTCAGAGAAAGAAAGAGAGACAGAGAGACGGAGACAGAGAGAGAAATAGAAAGAGAGAGAGAGACAGACAGACAGACAGACAGAGACAGAGATACAGAGTCAGAGAAATAAAGATAGAGACAGAGAGAGAGAGAGAGAGAGAGAGAGACAGTCAGAGAAAGAAAGAGAGACAGAAAGACGGAGACAGAGAGAGAGAGACAGAGACAGAAACAGAATGAAAGAGACAGACAGACAGAGTCAGAGAAAGAAAGAGAGGGGGGGGGCTAGCAGAGGCTTCTCCAAAGCTATTTTCATTTTAGTTTTCCTTTATTCCCCATTCCACCCCCAAAAAGCTTTATTACATTTCAAGAAAGGATAAAATGCAACTAGAGCAAAGAAAAAGGAGTTCAAATAAAAAGAAAGGAGCAGGGGAAAAAATTGGGAATTTCAAACAAAAGGGGAAAAAAGATAACTTTCTGACTTTCTTCAATACAGATTTAAAAAAAGGCTCTTTGAACTAGAATAAACCATAACAAACAGTACTTCTGTCATTGTGATCAATAATCCAATCATCAAAACCCAGAGGTAAATGTTCATTTCTTTCATTTTCAGACAAAACAAATCCAAGTTTTTTTAGTTTTCCAAATGGGTGATGGACTAGAAGAAATTATCATCTGCAAATTAAAACTGTGAGTGCATTTCCCTTATTCCTTTATCACACATCTCATCTGTGAAACTGATGTGTAAAAGATTCAGGCTATATTCACACAACACATTTAACTAGGTCAGCTAGAGATTTTGAAGTATTCCCCCCCCTACACACACACACACACACACACACACACACACACAACCAAAACTGTATGCTTGCTTAGTGTTAAACCATGATTCATCTCTCTGTGTGTGTGCGTGTGTGTGTGCAGTTTAGGATTTGGGGAATCTGGACCCATTTAGTTACTGTCTGGTGAAGTATATTTTTGTGTAAAGGCAGAAAACGGATTTAGTAATTAGGTGAATTGGGTTATGTGAATGCTAAAGAATGAGAAATGTTGTTAAGAATTTGGCCTTTCCCAGAGGACTATCCATCACAAATTGGGAGAGAATATACAAAGATCGTCTGTGCTGAATCCTGGAACTTTGTGGTTTTTTTTAAATATTATGATGAAATCCTTTATGTGCAATTTTACTGGGATGAAAAAATCAGGAATAAGGGGCCATGAAGGTCAATTGTACACCTTACACCAGGGGTCTTCAAACTTGGACCTTTGATGACTTGTGGACCTCAACTCCCAGAATTCCTCAGCCAGCGTTCCAGCATTGAGGTCCACATGTCCACAAGGGCCAAGTTTGAAGACCCTCTACCTTATACAGAGTAAATCTCTTCTAAAGTTTGACCCTTGCCTCACCGTGATTAAAAACACCTCTAACCAGCAAAAATAAATAATAAATAAATATTGGCAGGGGAGGGAAAGAGGAGGGGGAGAAAAAAGCTCCAGAGTGTCTGAACCTTCCTTTTTTTTTCCTTCTTAACAAAACATCACAGGACTAGGAGGTTAAGTTAGGTGGAATGTTTAAATTGCCACTTCTTTCACAGCTCGGCTGTGTCACCCAACATTCCTGCCAGCGGACACGCTGTAAGTGTGCAATGTTTGGGGGGAAAGCCAAAAGGCAAGTGTGACAGCCAAATGTGGCTTTCTAACAAGTCTCCCCCCCCCCAACACACACACACAAACACAATCACTTTTTTTTCCCAAGTCCAGTTGCACTTTTTTCCTCCAAGTCCAGCAGAGGGGGGGGGGGTGTCACAGGGAGACTTAAACTATAATATGCAATGAACAGCTAATGGGCTTCAGCTAAAATGGGTTTTGAGGTTTGCTGGGGACGTTCTGCCCCTTCCTTCCCCTGGACCTTGGGTGCACCAACCATCATCTGGTTCATTTGCCGATTTCTCACGTGTCGTGTGAACGCAGCGCCCCTGCCTTTGATTCATGCAAGCTGAGTCCTTTCGCGAGTTGTTGACCAACCCCCGGCAGAAACCAGCCTTGCTCGCGTGTGCAGGTTGCGCGGGAAGAGGGGGGGGGGAGCGCGCGGTTGCTCATCCCCGACGGACGCGTCGCCCCGGCAACAGAACGTTGTGCTGGCCGTCTCCCTGGCAACCGGCAGGGGAGCTCCCGGGATCGCTTTGTCCTGCAAGCTGTTGCTTCGCTGGCCCCTCGGGGTTGCTCCGGTGTGGCTGGTGGGGAGGGGCGAAAGGGACCGATGGCTTCGGATTTAGAGGAGAGGGTCCGCGCCGCCGTCAGGGACAAGCTGCTGCTGATGTAAGGCCGGGGAAGGGGCGCGCGGGGAGGGGGGGAATCTTCAAAGTTTGACCGCTTGCAGAAGGAGTGAGTAAAAAAAAATATTAACCAGTGGAACGGCTTGCCTCTAGATGTGGGTTCTCCATCGCTGGAGTCTTTTCAGAAGAGACTGGAGGGCCCCTTGTCTAGGGTTTCCTGGCTGATCATGGGGTTGGACTAGAAGACCTCCAAGGTCCCTTCCAACCGTATTATTCTATCTTCTAAGAGCCTTTGCAAAAAAAAAAAAAATCCATCAATTAATAAATAAATACAGGTGGTCCTTGACTTGCTACCACAACTGAACCCCAAATTTCGGTTCCTAAGCGAGACATTTGTGAAGTGAGTCTTGCCCCATTTTACGACTTAGGAGGATGGTTGTTTAAGGGAATCGTCTCCTCCATTAACTACGCTTCTCAGAAGGTCGCAAAAGGGGATGAGGCGACACACACTGCAGCGGTCGTAAAGACGAGTCAGTGGCCAAGCGTCTGAATTTCGATCACGTGACCCCCGAGGAGGCTGCAACGGTCCTAAGTGTGAAAAACGGTCACCAGTCCCTTTTTTTTCAATGCCGCGGCAACTTCAAACAGTCACTAAATGAACGATTGTAAGTCAAGGACTTACTTGTAAAAGTCTTGGCCGAGCTCCATCGTACCTACTTGGCCTTTTGTTTAACTGGGTTTCTGGAACTGTGATCTTCTCTGCTAAGCACCAGCTGAGGCTTGCATTACTCTCTTCCAGGAAAATCCCAGAGAGAGAAAACGACTTTTTGCCCTCATCTTGCTGCCTGTTAGAGAAGCAAAGAGAACTGGCCGAAGTGGAGAAATCTTTCTTAGCCACCAAAGAGGTAAATCTGGGTGACATGAAGGGCACCAACGGATGTGGACTTCATCCCCCAGAATTCCCTGGGGAGCAGGGCTCTTCGTAATCATGTCGGAGGTTAGAAGGACACAACTGGACAGCCCTGGGGTAGGGAATATTGAATGCATCTTGGATATTTGTATATAAAGGAACTTCAAAGTCCTTGGGGCTCTCTGAGCTGGGTTGTTTAACATCCTACAAATGTTTCATTACCCTGCTAAGGAACATCATCACTGCCAATAGCAATAGCAATAGCACTTATATACCGCTTCACGGTGCTTTACAGCCTGCTTTAAGCAGTCACTGCATTGCCCCCAATAATTACCCACCTTGGAAGGAAGGAAGGCTGAGTCAACCTTGAGTTGGTCAGAATCGAACTGCCGAACAGCTGGCAGTCAGCAGTCAGCAGAATTAGCACTACTACTGCATTCTAACCACCGCACCACCACGTCTCTAATATAACCCTAATATCACATCACTGCCATGCATTGTCTCCTCAGCGGTGCACTGATGACATTCCCTAGCTGGGTAATGAAACGTCTGCAACCATCACAACTATGAGTCAGTTGCCAAGGGTCTGAATTTTGATCCCATGACCCTGGGGATGCTGTCACGGTCGTAAGTGTGGAAAAATGGTTGTAAGTCACTTTCTTCAGTGCTGGTGTAACCTCAAAGTCACTAAAAGAACTGCTGTAAGTTGAAGACTATCTGTATTACGTGAAGATTCAGTGGAGCTAATGTGGTACTATTGGGTTCTTCTTTGGTAAAGCCATTGTTTTAACAGGGAGTAACGTAAAATATTGCCGAAACTAAAATATATTTCCTACTAAGATTAGGCATGAACATTCTCTGACTACTTTTGCTCTATCAGCCTTCCTTCATTTGGATGAGAAAATTTGCTGCTGTTTTTTTTTTTCCTCCCCCCCCCCCCCCGAGAAAACAAATTTGAAGGATGTGATGTTCTTGCACCTTACTTTGTGAGTGCAAATGTCCTCCTTTTACAGCACCATTCTCTCTCCAGTAATCCCAGGAGAGAACAGTTTCCAGGGTGTGGGTTTTTTTAAAGTAATAACGATACTGTTAGTGCTAAGAGAAGAGTCTTGTCAAGGAGAAACAGTTGATGAAATTCTTCTTCTCCTGGAGGTGGTGCAGATGGGATGGAGAACATCAAAAATTCATTCTGCCCTGCTCTGCTCCAGAGATTCCCAGACTTCTCCAGCTTAAAAAAGACTCTTAAAAAGAGAGAGAGAGAGATCAAAGAAAGTTATGGCAGGTGAAAAACGGTTAGGTCGTTCCAAAAGTCATTTTCCAAAAGGTGACTGGACTTTCTGAGAACATAGTTGGAACAGACCTTAGAGGTCTTCTAGTCCAACCTTCTGCTTTGAGCAGGAGAACCTGCACCATTTCAGGCAAATGATTCTCAAGTGTTTGTTTTTTGAAAGCCTCCACTGATGAAGCACCCACAACTCCTGAAAGCAAGTTGTTCCCTTAGTTGGTTGCTCTCACCCTTAGGAAATTAGTTCTTGGCTGCTTCAGTCCTTGATTAGTTTCCATCCACTGTTCCTCATCTTGTCTTTTAGTGCTTTGGAAAATAGTTTGACACACACACCCCCTCGTCTTTGTAGGAGACCTTGATTTTGGTCTTCGTTTTTTCCAAGTCCAGTTGCCTTTTGGAAAAGCACCTTTGAGAATCAAAGAAGGCCAACTTCAAGCTCCTTATTTTCCTTGTTCCAAAGCATTTGACCGCCTCTTGTCTTCAGCTACTCTCCTCTGTCTCATCTTCCCCTTTCCAGGAGTTCCAGAAGAAGACGGAACACTTGCAGCAGCGACGGCAAGAGCTGGAACACAAAGAGGGTCAACTCAAACAGGCCATTCTGAAGTTCGACAAGTTCTTGAAGGTCTGTGGTCAGCAGCGAAGCTCAGCACTAGAACACAGAACCTAGAATCTTAGGGCTGGAAGGGACACGGGAGGTTAAACTTTTTATTTGGTTTGAAGTGGTTGGGATCGACCCCAAATGTGGAAGGGTTTTCAGGTGTGATCTGGGACCATTTTCTCTCTTGTAGGAGAACGACGCCAAACGGAACCGAGCAATGCGGAAAGCTGAGCAGGAGAAGCAGCAGGTGGCTGAGAAGGAGGTGGAAGCAGAACACCTCAAGCAGGAACTGGCCCGGTTGATGACAGCAAAGACAAAACTTCAACAACGCCTGGCAGCTCATAAGCCTTTCTCCGAGTATCTGCAGAAAGTCTTGGGGAAGACGGAGCAGGTGAGTAGGTGAGGGGATGGGAAGGTTAGAGAAGAAAACTTCCCAGGCTGGCGAACTCTGTCAATAAAGTCAACATCCCGATCCGTGTGGTTTTCTCTGTAAATTATTTACGTATTTACCTTATTTTGGTGCCCTCAAGGTAACGATGACCCCTGGCAACTGTTTTGTGGCAAGAGGTTTCAAAGTTTCTCAGAGATTTTTCAGGGCTGAGAGGGAGGGACTGGCCCAAGGTCATCTAGCTGGCTTTCGTGGCCAAGGTGGGACTAGAACTCACCGTCTCCTGGTGATTGGCCAAAGTCATCCAGATGGCTTTCCTGCCTAAAGTTGGATTAGAACTCACCGTCTCCTGATGATTGGCCTGAAGCAACCCAGGTGGCTTTCATGTTCAAGACAGGACTAGAACTCACCGTCTCTTGGAGATTGGCCCTAGATCAACAAACCTGGCTTTCATGCCTAAAACAGGATTAGAATTTACAGTTTCTCGGTATCTAATCTGGTGTCCTTAGTCACCACTTCAAACTGGCTCTCTCGGTTGTTATTACTGGTGTTTTATTTTAAACACTTAAGCCACCCAGATTTATACTGGAGTCAGGCGGCCTCCCAATCAAATCAGATCATCTCCAACACGTCTGCTTCCATCTGTTTCTCTCACTCTTTCGTTTGGCTGGTGGAAAAAGGAGAACATTGTTTTCCCTTCTGGTCGTTCCTAGTAAATGGATCTCAGATTCTGCAACACAGTCCAAAGCTGTAGGACCACCCTGTCTCCTTCCCCCACCCCAAATTACTTGCTTAAGAAAAAGCATCAAGTTGTTTCTAGGACCGTTATCGCTTACAGGGTCCTAAATGATCCTAACTGAAGGACAACCTCTAGTCGTTTTTGGGTCCTCCTTTTTTTTCCTCTCGTTCTGCAGTTTCAGGAAATCTCGGAGTTGATCGGTCGCTTCCAGACTCTGATGGCCACCCAGGCCAGTTTGGTCCAGAGAGAACAAGTTGCCCGTGAAGCTGTGGAGGAGGAGCGCAGGTGCCTGCAGCAGTACATGGATGAAAGCAGCAACAGGATTTTACAGCAAAACAATCTGGTGGCTCAGCTCCAAGGCCAGCTGGAGCAAAGCCAGGCCAAGTTCCTTGAACTGGTGAGTGGAGGAAAAAGTGAATATAGAACAGAAGGCTGGAAGGGACCTTGGAGGTCTTCTAGTCCAACCTCCTGCTCAAAGCAGGAGACCTTATTTCATTCTGGTCAAAGGGCTGTCCAGTCTGGTTTTTTTTTTAAAAAAAAAACCTCTACGTTGAGACTCTAGAAAGAGAGCAGAGAAGAGCAACAAAGATGATTAGGGGACTGGAGGCTAAAACATAGGAAGAACGGTGGCAGGAATTGGGGATGTCTAATCTAGTGAAAAGAAAAACCAGGGTATGTGTGACATAGCAGTCTTCCAATATTTGAGGGGCTGCCACAAAGAAGAGGGAGTCAAGCTGTTCTCCAAAGCACCTGAAGGCAGGACAAGAAGCAATGGATGGAAACTAATGAAGGAGAGAAGCAATCTAGAACTAAGGAAAAATTTCCTGACAGTGAGAAGAATTAGCCGGTGGAACGACTTGCCTCCAGAAGTTGTGGGTGCTCCATCACTGCAGATTTTCAAGAGACTGGACAGCCATTTGTCTGAAATTGGCATAGGGTCCCCTGCTTGAGGAAGGGGCTGGATTAGAAGACCTTCAAGGTCCCTTCCAATCCAGTTATTCTGTTAGGCAATGTCTTAGCATGATGTCTGAAGAAAAAGCCCCGACCTTCTTCTCCCACTCTAGGAGTCCAACTGGATCTGCATTCAGAACACGGCAGCTGACAAGACCCTGGAGCTGGGACAGATCAAGCTGGCAGCTCTGAACCTTTTCCAGATGGTGGCCAAGCATAGGAAGCTCCCAATGAACGTGCCGCAGGAGGACACCGAAGCCCAGCTAGATGTGGTCAGCTCTAATACTACTTCCCTAAATGCTGTTCACTTTGGGAAAGTCACACCGTGGGAGGCTTTCAATGATTAATACGCTGACAACGGATCTTGCAAAGGGAAGTAATGTAAGATGTTTGTCTGGCAGCGATGGCTCCCTGAGCTGTGAAATTTTATTGGCCTCTGGATGACCTTGGTGCCTTAGTATACCCAGGCCATCCTTGATTTACAGCCAGTCGTTCAGGGACTGCTCAAAGTCACAACAGCACTGTTTTTCACACTGACCACTGTTGCAACATCCCCAGGGTCACGTGATCAAAATTCATGCAGCTCAGCAACTGATTCATATTTATGACAGTTTGCAGAGTCCCAAGCTCATGCGATTCACTTTTGCGACCTTCTGGGAAGCAAGGATGTCTAGGATGTCTCCAAAATGGAAGTCATTTGTGTCTGGCCATTTGAGTCTTCGAGTGGATTGTTCTATCTTAGAATCCATTTATTTGATTTAACACCCGGCTTTTCTTGAAGTCCTTAAGGTAATGTACGTCCCGCTTCCTCCTCCCAATTTTATCAACAGCCACCCTCTTTCTTTCGCCATCTTTCCAGGTCCAGCTTTGTGTTGAAGATTTAACAGCCGCCCTTGCTGATTTCCGCAAAGGACAGCCACCGCAAGCTTCACAGCCAGAAAAACCGGTGCCGTCTCAGGCTAGTACATCAGCCAGCCAGTCACAACTATTATCCAGGGTGCGTATTGCCACCGCTACATCCTTTGTAACTTGCACTACAAATCTCCTGATTTTAGGAAAACGAATGGTTAAGTAGGAAAGACGTTGAGAGATAGAAGGAAGAGCTACAGACTAGACCACAGTCAGATTAGAGGCAGCTGAGCCCACAGAAGGAATATGGATGTGGCAAACATCGAGAAATGACCTTCCCTAGTTTCTTAAGGCTGTAAAGATGACAGGAGAGAAATGTGTCTTCAGACTTGCAAAATTGTTAATGTAACTTTACAATAGAATCAGACCTATTGTTCCTGGTGTGTTTGTTTGGTCTGTCTTGCAAGGCTGACACATTTCTACTTATGTGCCTTTTTCCTGTCTCCAGACATCCCTCATCTGTGGTTCTAATCTCCCTATCCCATTAGATGCAGACTACAGATCCCCTACTTAAGAATTTCCCTGATCTTGAAATCAAGTTCCCAGCTCTCAGGAATTGCAACCTACAGGTCATCCTTGACTTAACCATCGGTGCTAAGCCACCGTTCAAAGTTATGAACTGGGCTGGATTACTTAACGGGAACCGATTCTCTAGCATCTCCCATGATCAAGAGCGAAAGCTGCCCCCCAATCTGTATTTCTCTTCACCACATAATTCAAGATAACTCTTTTATTCCAAACTAATTTTTTAAAAACAAAACAAAACAGAGGAAAACATTGGATGGAGCATGATAAGGGGAGCCATTTCAAATGACGCAGCCGGTCGCTGAAATTCTTTCATCTTTATTTATTTTAGACCCAGAGTTTACACAGTAAATAAATGGGAATCGGCGACCACAAGCCGGCCTCCTGGACAGACACGGGACTTCTACATCCGTTTCCGCAGCTTGCCTTTCTTCACACCCCCGCGGCCGAAAGCTGTTTGGCGCATCTCTCGCACTCGTTGCCGATTATGGGATTTCAAGCGCTTCAACCCTCCGCCCTGCAGGAAGCGTTGCTTGGAGGCCTTTTTCCTCTGCTTGAAGATCTGTTCCTTGGTTTTCAGCTCGGAGCGGACCCTGCCTCGCTGGGAGGAAGAGGCCTGCTGGGACCCTTTGGAAGGGGACAAAAAAACAAAACAAAACAAAAAGGTTGTGTTGGAGTTTGAACTGGGGAGGGGCAGCCTGGCCCAGAATGATGGAACCGTGTTACAGGTAGCTGACTTAACGCCCTTTCGTGCGAAGTTAGGACGAGACTGAATGAATGGTGGGTATCACCTGTGCTAAGAGCGCTGGCTGTCTCAGGAACCCCATAGTTACGTGACCACAAGGTGGGCAACTGGCAACCGGCTCACACTTACAATCGGTTGCAGCACCCTGTGGTCACATGTCTCTGGAGATTCTCAGTCATCCAGGCCAGAGTTGTCCCAAAGGCAACTGGACTTTTCTTGGGTTTTTTTTCTTGAGGATGTTTCATCTCTCATCCAAGAAGCTTCTTCAGTTCTGAAGAACTGAGCTGGCATGCTAGCCTGATGAAGAGAAGGACTAGGGGTGATCTGAGAGCAGGGTTCCAATATTTGAGGGGCTGCCCCAAAGAAGAAGGGGGTCAACGTATTTTCCAAAGCACCTGAAGGCAGGACAGGAAGCAACGGATGGAAACCAATCAAGGAGAGAAGCCACCTAGATCTAAACATCTTCAAACAAAATGAAGAAAAAGTCCAGTTGCCTTTTGAAAAAAGCACCTTTGGGATGTTTGGACAATTATTGCAACTGCTGAAAACAAAAAAGAGGAGAGCTGGATGCCTCTTTTGTCTCAAAGCTCACCTCTGCCCTTCTGCCTCTTCCTGCTCCTCGCATCGCCCCCAACCTCCGTGTCCGAATCCTGTTCGTCAATCTTATTTCTCTTTTTCCATTTATCATAGCTGGAGCTGAATTAAGAAATCCAAGCTACCCGAGTAGTCCAACACAGATCGTACTCACCAACCCCATTGTTTTCTTTCCTACCCCACCCACCTGGGTTAAAAATGCATGTGGGAAGAAGAATGAAGGTGGATTCTTAGCGCCCACTGGATCTTCTAAGCTTCTGTTTAAAGCAGCTTCGCCATTTTAAGTTGTCTGGACTTCAAATCCCAGAATTCCTCAGCCAAGTCTAAAATGGCCACGGTTGAGAAAAACTTGGCCACTTTAAGCCTTGAGGACTCAACTCCCAGCATGCCTGGCTGAGGAATTCTGGGAGTTGAAGTCCACAAGTCTTAAAATGGCCAACGTTTGGAAACTGCTGGTTTAAAAGATGGATGAATCCCGATTGACTACAGCAATAGGGATGTTAGATTTGCATCTGATCACCTAGAGATCAGAATTTGAATTATATATGATGGCAAATCACGGTCGAGTTTTAGCTAGACCAAGTTTAAGACTTTTCCTGGAATGAAATGGAAGGATACAGGTTGGTTTTGTAGGAGCTGTTGATGTAGACGCCGCTCTCTGTACGGATCTTCTTCTTATCCTCCTGACCCTTTTGCCCGACAAATCGTTTCTGCTTCCGATCCCTACAGGACAGGAAAAAAAAAAATACAGCAAGGAAAGTAGGAGAGAGATCCCTTCTTAAGGAAAGGATTGGCCAATGGAAATGCAGATCACTTCCTACATCAGAATGTCCTACAGGTGGGTGTAACACAGCCAACAATGGAAGAATGTACAGGCAGTTCTCAACTTACAACCATTTGTTTAGTGACTGTTTGAAGTAACAATGATGCAGAAAAAAGTGACAACGGCTGTTTTTTCACACGATCCTTGCAGCATCCTTTTCAGTCACAGGACCAAAATTTGCATGTTTGCCAACCGGCATGTATGTATGATGGTTGCAATGGTCTGGGATCATGTGATTCCCCAGTTGCAGGAACTGGATATGTCTAGTCTAGTGAAAAGAAGGACTAGGGAGGACACGATAGCAGTATTCCAATATTTGAGGGGCTGCCACAAAGAAGAGGAGGTCAAGCTATCCTCCAGAGCACCAGAAAGCAGGACAAGAAGTAATGGATGGAAACTAATCAAGGAGAGAAACAACCTAGAACTAAGGAGAAATTTCCTGACAATGAGAACAATTAACCAGTGGAAAAAGTTTGCCTTCAGAAGTTATGGGTCCTCCAATTCTGGAGGCTTTTAAGAAGAGATTGGATAACCATTTGTCTAAAATGGTATAGGGTTTCCTGCCTGAGTAGGGGGTTGGACTAGAAGACCTCCAAGGTCCCTTCCAACTGTTATTCTTTTATTCTGAAGCACTCTTTATTAGCTGTTCTCTCTTGCAGCAAAGTATAAACAGAAGTATAAAAGAACTAATGTAAGACAAAAACAGATTTAAATCTCATTAATATTGTCTACTAAACTTTGCAGTACCTCAAACAGGAAAAGAATTAGCTGCAGTTACATTCTCGAAAACCTTTTTGAGGTGCTCAGTCAACCGTGACTCTTTAAAACAAAGGCAAGCAAGTCAAACCAATCCCGGTGCTTAGAGGGACAAGTCCTTACAAACTCTTTTGACAACACAGCCATTGTTCCCCGGCGTTTCTTTCCCAGTCTAGGCTACAGGCCTCGGTTCTCCTCGTGGTCTCCCAGGACCAATCAGATTTACAGGTGCAAAAACCTGCTGCAGGCAGAAACACTCCACAAACATGGTTTTAAGAAGAGAAATTACTTCCTTTTTTCTTCATGTATACAATATATATCTATATATCTATGTATCTATATATCTGTATATCTATCCTTATCTATATCTATATCTATCTATCAATATAAAATGGCCTAATTAGGAAGGTGGGACCCAAGGGGAAATAAATATAAAATGGCCTAATTAGGAAGGTAGGACCCAAGGGGGTCCTTGAGTTATGAGGAACCAGAAGGACATTCTTACCTCAGTCTTTGGGGGACAGGAAAGAGGAGAAACCAGCAAAAAAAAATTGCTCGGCCATGAGGTGACTCACCATTTCAAAAGCTTTTTGTTCTTGTTTAGATTCCTGTCCTCGTCGCCCATTAAGTCAAGGACTGCTGCAGAGGCCTGCTGTTCAAATGCCGTGCCTTCCCCTCCAACACAGAGCCTGCAAAATTGAGGAAACCATTCGTTCCACCAGTTGCCCTCTTGTGTGTTTTGGAGATCCTGCATAAGTGACTCTCTAGCACAGAGTTCTCCATTGTAACCGAGGTTATTTCCCCCTAAGTAAGGGGTTTGATGTGCCCACCACCCCTGGCCTGGATCCTTTACATACCCCCGCTCTGAAGCAAAGTCCTTGGGTTGATAAGGGACATAAAACTCCTTCTCCTCCTTCACTGGCGGCTTTCTCTTCTTCACCGCTCTGCTTTCTGATGGAAGATGCTTTCGTTTCTTTCCCACCACGCTGGAGAAGACACCCTGGTGTGGAAATTCAGGAGAACAAATTAGAGAAAGTCCCGGAGAAGAGAAGAACTAGGGGTGACGTGATAGCAGTCTTCCAATACCTAAGGAGCTGCCACCAAGAAGAGGGGGGGGCGTCAACCTATGCTCCAAAGCACCCGAAGGCAGGACAAGAAAAAAAGAGCGATCCAACTTAGAACTAAGGAGAAAATTCCTAACGCTGAGAACAATTAATCAGTGGAAAAGCTTAACTCCAGAATTTGTGGGTGTTCCATCACTGGAGTTTTTAAGAAATTTGGACAGCCATTTGTCTGACATGGTATAGGGTCTCCTGCTTGAGCAGGGAGTTGGACTAGAAGACCTCCAAGGTCCCTTCCAACTCTATTACCTATCATTCTATGGCTGTGTCCCTTTTAGCTGCATCTTCATAACTAAAAGAAGCATCACTCTTAAGATGCGTGAGTCATTTGTCTTCCATTGTTCTACCTGAATATGGTCTTCTCCATCTTCCATCGGTTCTTCTGCGACAGCCACTTCTTGAGTTTTCACAGCAGCCAAGGACAACCTTTCCTCCTGTTTCCGCTGGTGCCGGTCAATTAATTGCCGATCGCGGATCCGCTTAGCCCGCATGACGTCACTGGCCAGAGTTTTGTTGGTGGCGTTGATTTCAAAGATGGTCTAATGAAAAAAAGAGCAGAGATCAGAAACACTTCTCTGAAAATCAGGCTAGGAAAGAGGATCAAGATTCTCCTTCAACAGGGCCCCAGTCGTTGGGTAATCATCATTTTCTCAGCATCCTACTTAGCTGCTCTAGAGTTCCCATAATGCTTTTAGCAGGTGCATTGTGGGTGGCTAAAATGCTGGCTCCCAAGGATATCTATTTAGAGATGGTGAGAGGTCTGGTTCCAATCAGGACTATTCCACCGAAATTTCAGAAGAAGACCTTCTGTAGGAAGGTCTCCAGAAGGTCTGAACTGCTCCTGGATGAAACAGACGAAGCCGGCCTAGAGGAAACAGGGCTAAAACCTGGCTAATCAAATGTCTCTCAAACAGGACCCGGAACATTCAATAGCCCCACTTCCACATGATGCGGAGCTATGCCAAGTTTTCAAAACTCCATCTGCATCATGCAAATAATACAAATTGTGGTGATGATGTATTTAGCAGATTCAGTGGGAGTAAGACACTCTTCCCCCCAAATCTGATCATAAAATTCAGTTTCCCTGTAATTAGTTTGGTCTAGTGGTTGGAAGCCAGGAGACGGTGAGTTCTAGTCCCGCCTTAGGCATGAAAGCCAGCTGGGTGATTTTGGGCCAATCACCAGGAGAAAGTGAGTTCTAGTCCCGCCTTAGGGGCAAAAGCTGATTGGGTGACTTTGGGCCAATCACCAGGAGACTGTGAGTTCTAGTCCCGCTTTAGACACAAAAGCTGATTGGGTAACTTTGGGCCAATCACATTCTCTCAACCACAGAGGCTTCTTTTTGTGGAGAAAATTAAGACGAGGAAAGAGTATTAGGTAATTTTGTCGCCTCGACAGTTACAAAAATAATAAAGTCAAGATATAAATAATGTTTAAAACTATGAACAACCCGCTCCAGGGCCAGGAGCACACACGGATCAACTTTATAAGGCGTCACGTGACTTCAAAAGGATTGTGACAGCAGAACTGAAATCTGGATCCCAAAGTCATGGCTAAACTTACCGCTTTAGATCGGTAGGTTTTGATGCTGTCCACAAATTTCAGCCGTGTCATCTCCTCCTCCTCAAAACGCAAACCTTAAACAGATCAAAAATGAGGGAACGGATCATCTGCTGTGGTCTAGGAAGCCTAAGTCTGCGTTCCCACATCACATTTATTCCTGATTGGAGGAATCCATTAACCAGACACACAACCTGCAGAAACACTCACTGAAGAGGGGATGAATCCCTATGAGGCTGAATTCCATTTCTTTGACCCTCTTGATAGATTCGGAGGATGAACTTGGCCGGGATTTCTGGTACTGCTTGAGGGCGTTGTCCGAGACGCGACGGAGATTCTGCAGGTCGAGGGAACGCTCGTGGTCAGTCTGTAGCAAGCTTTCCTCATCGTCCATGACGGCCTGGGGAACACGGCCAAAAACTCCATCTGAATCTGGGTGGGGTGTGTGGGAGAAGGGTTCTGTTATTTCCACAAATTCAGTAGAGGTATAGTCCTCAACCTATGACCACAATTGATCCCCAAATTTACGTGGCAAAGTGAGACATTTCTTAAGAGAATTTTGCCTCATTTTACCATCGTTATCACTGCAGTTGTTAAGTTAGTAACACGGTTGTTAAACTTCCCCGTTGGCTTTGCTTGTCGGAAGGTCGCAAATGGGGGATCACGTGACCCCCGGGACATCTCAACCGTCATAAATACAAGTCAGTTGCCAAGCGTCCGAATATTTATCCCGTGACTGTGGGGATGCTGGAACTTTTTGTCAGTGCTGTTGTAAGTTTGAGCAGTCACTAAACAAATGGTTATAAGTTGGGGATACTTACCTGTGGGCTTCTGATGAGGATTGGCGAAGACTAAAGGCCGGCCCAGAAACAGATGGAGGTCAAAAACATACGGGGTCTCATCTGGGGCCACAAGGGAGTAGGCTGTTCCAGTCCTCCCCGCACGGGCCACTCTGCCTATAGGGAGAAGATGCCACGTCAAAATGGGTCAAGCTCCAAATGGGGCTTTTACAACCATATATGTGGAGTCTTTGATCCTCTCTGATCGTTTCCTTTGCAGACGTTTCATTCCCCACTCCCTTCTAGCACTGATGATGTTACTTAGCTGGGTAATGAAACATCTGCAAGAAAGTAACCAAGCTCAGAGAGCATCAAGGACCCCATGGTGATCCTCCTCCTCCTCCCGTTTCCTTCTCCTATCCACAAACCCCACTCCCTTCTATCACTAATGATGTAACTTAGTTGGATAATGAAACGTCTGCACGGAAACCCCTAAGCTGAGAGAACAACAAGGACCCAGAAGAAGACTCTTGCCTTACAACAGTGAGCAAAATCATAAAAATAACCCTGGAAGGCTCCAGATGTTAGGAACTCACCGACGCGGTGCAGAAAAAGCTTCGCCTTGGCTGGGAAGCTGTAGTTAATCACATTATCCAGAAGAGGGATATCAATCCCGCGAGCAGCGAGATCGGTGACAATCAACACGGAGCATTTGCCATGAGCAAACTTGCCGATGTTGATTTTGCGAGCTGTCTGGTCCAGAGAGCTGTAGATGTTGGTGCAGTTCACCCCCTGCAAGGTTAGCAGCTGCCAAAAAAAAAAAAAAAACACCCATTCATTAGGCCAGGAAAAAGCCAGCAAGCTATAGACATCTGAAGGATGGGTGATGCTCAAAGCTTGAGACAATACAGGTGGTCCTCAACTTACGGCCACAACTGAACTCAAACTTTCACCTCCCTTTTTATTTCCTTAGTGCCTACATTTTAGTTCTCACCTGGGCACCGAGAGACAATTCAAACTGCTACGGAAAAATGCCCCCGTTTCCCAAATTTCGTGCAAGTGGGTCCGTTGTAACTCTGAACAGTTGCTAAGGGACCCGTTGTTATGTGAGGACTACGAACCCTCTCTTTTCCCCAGGCCATCGGGGTCCCTGCACTTACCTCTTTCAGGTATTCTGTGTGATGCTTGGTGGCCACAAACACAATGGTCTGGTCTTGGGGCTTTACCACAGTCCTCAGCAGATGTAAGAGAAGAGCTGGCTTGTCGTCAGCACGCACGTGGAAAAACGAGAGCTAGAGAAAGGAGGTTAGAACACAGAATCATAACGCTGGAAGGGACCTTGGAGGTCTTCTAGTCCATCCCGCTGCTCAAGGCAGGAGAGCCTATACCATCCTTTTCAAATGGCTGTCCAGTCTCTTTTTGAAAAGCTCTAGTGATGGAGCACCCACAACTTCTGGAGGCCAGCTGTCCCACTGGTTAATTGTTCTCACTGTCAGGAAATTTCTCCCGAGTTCTAGGTTAGATCTCTCTTTAATGAACGTCCATCTGTTACTTCTTTTCTTGCCCTCAGATGCTTTGAAGAATAATTGACCCTTTCTTTGTGGCAGCCCTTCAAATATTGGAAGACTGCAGTCATGTCACCCCCCTGGTCTTTCTTTTCACTAGATTAGACGTCCCCAATTCCTGCAGCTGTTCTTCCTGTTTTAGCCTCCAGTCTCCCTAATCACCTTTGTGGCTCTTCTCTGCACTCTTTCTAGAGTCTCAACATCTTTTTTGCATCGTGGTGACCAAAACTGGACACAGTATTCCAAGTGGTGGGCTCACTAATGCAATATAGAGCAATTCAATCCCTTCTCATGATGCTATCTTGATGCAGGTTATTTCATATCAACTGCTCTCTTTTACTTCTCTTCCTTCCTGGAGGAGTTAACTCAGCAACAAGGAACTGGAGCATTCACAATGTTTTTTGAGCTAAAAATAATAATAAAATCTCAGAAACCCAATTCTCCCACTGAATCAACTCCACCCAATTCCAAATGGACCATTAGAAGGGACGGTTGACCATTCCCACCTTGAGTTGCTCACTCAGCTTGGATTCCACATCCAGTCGGATTAATACCGGCTCTGTGAGACCTAAGCAGAACAGGAAGATACATCAGTCGCTGGTGTGAGCAGACTGTACAGCAGAAGAGGGTAAATAAAAGTGTGGGGAGTTTCCTGACTGCTCTACAAAGACATTTCCCAGATGTTCTTCCAGGACCCAAGGATGGCCAACTTTCAAAGGAAGGTAAGACAAGAAGTGATATCACCAATCGTGAACATCAGCCATTGATGCCTGGCTGAGCTCCCTTACTCAAGAGGAAGAAAAGGCTGCCGATTCATTAACACCATAGAACA